TTTAAGAAAATGCAGAGGGAATTCTCACTTCCGGAGATTTGAGGTCCACCACCGAATCTGATAGAACACCCTTGACAGCAGTAGCCACTGCGGCAAAGCATTTGTCACGGTCCAACATATCAATTGCATTTGAAGATTCTTTGGGAATATTCAGTTCTGTCTCTATCCCTCTTCTATTATATGCAATTGCAAACTACAAAATCATGTAGAAATTTCATTTGCACATCAAAATATTATAACTCCTATAAAATAATTAATCCCTTTCAATGGTTGCTGAAAAAAGTAACGATGAAACTATTGTTATGAAGTGATAACGGATTTGACTTCTACCTTTATGGGCCGCACAAGCTTCTGATTATCGTTCACGAATTGAAGAACAAGCCTTGATACAACTTCATGCAGTTCCTTCTCTTTCAAACTACAAGTAGCTTGGATAGGGAAAATGCGATTACACCAACTGCACCAAAGAACTCCCAATTAGTGTTCATAATGGGGGAAAAAGGATCATATATATTACTGGACCCTTCATATGGAAATGCAAATGAATACTGAGTGCAAAAACATTGAAGAGCTGCGGCACAACCTCAAAGTGGGCTATAGGGAACAACTAGAAGCCCTCATCCTCAAAACAAAGAATGCTTTAGCATAAATTATAAAAGCTTTGAAACAGAAAATCTGTCAGAAGAAAGTAAATTATCTACTCACAGTGGTGAACCAACACTCTTGGATTCCACAGCCTGAATAATTTTCGATACAGTATCAACAACGTCAGGAGAAGTGTTTCTGCGGAAAGTAAAGAGAAGCAGACCACTCTTTGTCAACTTAACCAGCGAAAGAAGTGGACTTGCATCTCCTTCCGCATCGACCTTTGCAGGAGACAAACGAGGAGTACGCTCCTGAAGATCATCTGCCAACAGCATTACAATAACAAACAAGTCATATCACAACAAATACAGAAAGTCAGAACCTAATACTAATAGCACAACATATGCAAGTGATACCACGAGCGTCCTCAGAGTTAGCAGTAGCAGCATCTTTGCTTTCCCCGCCGCCATTGCAGCACTCGCTATCGATATCCTCTTTCGAAAGCTTCCTTCTTTTCGAACTGGTATTGTCCTCTGAGCTGCAACTATTAAAGCACTGAACATACTGAAAACATAAACATACAAAAACCCCAAAATTGTGATCACAATTAAAAAGTTCACATCCATAAATAAATAATAAATCAATCACATTTGCAGTAAACAAGTTGGTAATTTCAAAGGCATAAAAGAAGGGATTTTACCTTTGCAAGGAGGGAAATTGCTTCTTTTGTGGCGCTTTTCTCCCTCTCTGATCAAAATTAATCACAGCAGAAACACAAAGAAACAAACTTTCTATCAGAATCGTTGGTTCTTTGTTAAATTAGGGGTCATAAATTTGAAAGAGGAAGAAGAGGAGAGTGACAGACTGATGGGGCAGGTAATGAGGAAGCCGGAGTGGGAGCGTTGGAGAAGAGAAGAAGGGGCGTTGTAGTCGAAGCGAGGGATGCTGATTACAGTCGAGTGTTGCTCCCATGGCGCCATCTCCTCTTTCCTAGTCGACTCCATCTCTTTCTCTCTTTCTACTTCCGCCGCCGCCGCCTCCACCGGTATCGCCATTCTTTCGAGCCTTCAGAGAAAGGACACACACTTCTTTAGTTCGACAGAATTTCCAAGTTTGTACTTTTAAATTTCTTATATTGTATGTGACTGTGTTACCTAAATTGAAATTCAAAATAATTCTTTATTTCTTTTTTTTTTCTAATCCTAAAACCCTCAAGTATTTTATGTTCCGAAATTTCTATTATCGGGTTTTCTAAGATTTCCTACGTGCTCGTAAAAGGAAATGTTATTAAATGGGAACATAAAATCCTCTTTTGTTCATCGTAAAGTGCATGTTTCGAGACACATTGGTTTTTATTTGAGTGTTGTTCCTTTCACTTATTTTGGGTACCCATTTTTCGTGGTAAGTTAAGGAGAATTCACTTTCAAGCTTTGATTGACAAGGCTAAAGCCCACCTCTCTTGTTGGAAAGGAAAACTTTTCTCAATGGCTGGACGATTTCAATTAGTGCATTCTGTTTATCAAAGTTTGTTCCTCCATAATTTCTTAGTTTATCAATTGCCATCTTGCCTTTTTAAAACATATTTCTGCTTGCGCAAGGAATTTTTTTTGGTCAAGGGATTTAGCTTCCCAGAAGTTGGTAACTGTTGATTGGAGTATGGTGTGTGGACCTAAAAATGAAGGTGGGCTTGGTTTTCATGATTTAGCTTCCTTGAACTTGATGGCTTTGCTTAGTTTTGGATGGAATGCTTTACAATCCTCTTCTCTGTGGGGTTCTTTTGCTCGTCAGCGTTTTCCTCTTTCACCTTCCAAAAAACTAAATATCTATTTATGGTCTTCTGTGTGGCATGGTTTGAAGCGTGCTTTGCCTATTCTGAATAATAATAGTCGTTGGATTATTGGTGATGGGAGGTCCGTTTCCTTTTGGTTTGACAAATGGTTGGAAAACCCATTTATTAGCCCTTGTTTATCTTCGGTCATTTCACCTAAGGTTCTTCCTCGGATTTCAGATGTTATTGAAGCACAAAGTTGGTCTTTCCCATATTATTTTATAAATTTATTCCCTTATGTGGTGCAACAAATTTTATGTCTACCTTTTCCCTTAAATGTCGAGGATGGTAAATTGATTTCGGAGCCCTCACCTACTAGGAAGTTTTCCTTTTCTTCTGGTTATCAACTTATTCGAAGGAAACATAGTGATTGTGCTTGGGCTAAGGTTATTTGGCAGCATTTTATTCCACCACGGCTAACTATTTTGGCTTGGCGGTTTTTTCATGATAAACTGCCTATCGAGGGTGCGCTTCAACGACGTGGTATTTCTTTGGTATCCATTTGTTGTTTATGTCATAATTTTGAAGAATTTACTACTCATTTTTTCTTCGGCTGTCGGATATCTAGGCAACTTTTGAGGTGGTTAGCATGCCATTTTGGTACCTCTTTGTCTCTTTCAAAATTTTTGGATGTTTTTTGGGATATCTATATGCATAAGCCCTTTTCCCAACCATTGAACAATCTCTGGATTTTTCGGATCTGTATACTATTGTGGCTATTTGGAAGGCTCAAAATAAGTTTATTTTTTTAAGGCCGACCACTCTGTTTTCATCGTCTTTGCATGTTTATCAATTATGTGATTGTTCATGGTGGAAAGTTTATTCGTGGTTACTCTCAAGGTTTTGATACTCGAATCATCTCTTCGATGGGGATCTGACCTATCTCTTGCAAGGCGCCTACTATTTTTCCTGTCCTTTGGTCTCCTCCTTGGTTTCCTTGGATTAAACTTAATACATATGGTTTATCTAAAGGAAATCCTGATCCTGCTGCTTGTGGAGGAGTTTTCAGGAATTGTCATGGTCATTTTCTTGGTGGTTTTTGCCAATGAATTGGTTATCGCAATTCTTTTTTTTGCAAAATTATATGCAATTATTATTGGTGTAAAGTTTGTATATCAGCTGGATTAGCATTGTCTTTGGTTGGAAAGTCACAGCTTTGGTGTTATTTCTGCTCTTCAATCGTTTGATTTTGATCCTCCATGGCCTCTTCGTACCCAATGGTCTATTTGTTTGGACCGCATTCGGAAAATGACTTTCTACTTATCTCAAATATATCGGGAAGGAAATTTTGGTGCGAACAATTTTGCTAACATGGGCTTGTCTTCTCCAACTTAAACTTGGCATGATTCTCCTCTGCCAGCGGCTCGTGCTGCATTGTTTTCGGACTATGTTGGCTTGCCTGGCTATTGCTTCACAAATTAATGTTCATTTTGGCATCCAGGTTTGTCTCACTCTTTTTTTCCCCTAACTTTGTGGTGTTGCTCAACTTGTTTTGCAGGTTTAGACATTTAGGTTTGGTTTTAGAGGGGTTAGGTTTCATGCCCCTCCTCTTTTCTTTGTATCTCTCTTGTTTTCGTTTCTAGAAGGATATGGTTTATGTCCCCCTTCTTTTTTGTGTATTGTTTTTGTTATCTCTGTTTATGAGGGGTAAGGTTTATGTCCCCCCTGTGGATAAAAATGAAACGACTTCTAGAAACTATATAGAGTAACAGGACTCGTTTGGATTTGCTTTTAAAATAACTGAAAGCACTTTTGATAAAAATATTTTTGGAAACAATTCTTAGTAAAAATTTGAGTAAATTCCGGAAAAGCACTTAAAGTGCTTCCTGGAAGAAGCACATAACTGGTGCTTATTGTAGAAAGCACTTGAAGTGCTTTTGGAAATCAAAAACATTTTTTCTAAAAGCTTTTTTAATTGAGTGACTAGGGCTCGTTTGGACGTACTTTTAAAATGACTACAAGTGCTTTTAGTCATTTTAAAAACACGTCTAAACAAGCCATAGTCACTCAACTAATGTAGCAATGGTTCCTTAACTTTAATTTAATTGAAGTAATGTTCTCTTAACTAAAAATCAATGATCATTAGTTCCTTAACTCATCAAAATGTGCAGCTATAGTCTTTTTCATCAACTACGTCAAAACTTCCGTCAAAATGAGTTATGTTAGAAAGACCATTGCTACAATTAGGTTAAAGTTGAGGGACTATTGCCACAATTTTCTCATTTAGTTTTCCTTATATGACCCCAGATTCAACCTCATATGCATAATATGCATGGTACATGAGTCATTTTGAAGAAGTTCTAACAAAGTTAACAAAAAAATATCATAACTACACGTTTTAATGAGTTAAAAGGATAAATGATTACAAATTTTTAGTTGATGAACTATTACTTCAATTGGGTTAAAGTTAAAGAATCATTGCTGTAATTTCCCCATTAGATAACTTTAGGTCTATAACAGGACTTTCTTGGGTACTCAATAGTACCGATATTTTAACTGTTAGATATTCTTTAAAATTAAAAACCAAAATCTAATGGATAAAACATTAAGGGTACCTGATCCTCCGGGCCACCCAAGAATTTTAGAATTTTTGTTAAATAGCCTCTAACATTTTTTTTCCACACAAAATATATAGTGTCGACAATAGTATGTTTTCACAAAACTTGAGAGCTCTTATATTTATTAATTCACCATTTACCACTTTTGTGGGGCTCTATAATTTACTTCTTTTCAATATTTACCATTGACTATATAAACTAACACAAATCCTGGCACCAACCCCCTCCCCTCCATAAGTCCTTCGTTATGACCAAACTGTGCAGTGAAGGAAGGTGTCCTTTCTTGTTTTCTATCCCCCCGCGGCTGCCCAGAACGAAGGTATCACGACCGGTATCGGACCGAAGAAGCTAATCACATTTTCATTTGAATCTGCCGATGGATATGTATTAGAAACTCGATATAGGAGAGGCCATTCAAATTTTTATCTTCGACGATATACGAGAAGAAGAGCATCCCTGGGAAAGTAGAATACAAGAGTTAATACATAAACCCGTAACTTTTATGTAACACAATTATTACACAGCACAACAACGCACTGACCTGATGGATCTCCTTTCTTGCATAATTTCATGCTGCAAGAACATAATCGAGGAATTGATTAGACTTGCATCGAATCAACACGATGTATGATTGAGAAAGTAACAGAAAAACAAAAGGTTACCGGAGGTAGGAACATCTTTGGCGTCGAATCTCATTTACCATGTCATTTAGCTTAGCTGAAAATGGATTATCGTACTGCTGCAGCACAAACTGTGTATGCGAGAATATTAGCGACCGGATGATATTTATACTGGGAAATAAACTGAGAATTAACTTTGCCAATATGCAAGTCGGTCAGTAGTTAGGCATCATATTGGACAGACATTGTGTATAAGAATGATTTGGCTTAACATGTACCTGAGCAGGAATTTCATCAACTGAAGAAATACCGAACAACTTCTTCAAGATATCTGGATCTACCGAGCTGCCAATATATATTAGACAATCCTCTCCATTCTCAAGAAGATAAATTCCCTCATCGCTGATATGCTCACTAGAAAGTGGAATTGCAGGAGGAACAATTGATCCATCCGTCTGTCAATTAACAGAAATCCATTGGTTTTAGGATCAATAACTTGAAAGCGAGCACATTTCTAGCATTGGTTTGTGTCTCAGAGAGAGAGAGAGAGAGCAGAGCAAGGGAAAAATCAAACTTAAGTAATGGTAAAACCTTTCGGACCTTGGAAATTAAATCATGGATTGCCACCATTCGAGGATACACAAGTGCTATTGCTAAAGGAGTAGAAACAGAGGACACATAATTGATCCAGTAGGATCGTTCATCTAATTTCCCTTCAGCTCGCAATCCCGTGCTTTTAGTTAGTGCTGAAAAAGAAAAAAAAAATTAAACAGAATTATTAAAACATGTACGAATGTCATACCTCAATGACTGCTAATATGCTTATCGGAAGAGTCATGCATAACATAGTCCATGCATTGGGGCATAACAAAATTCTGATTTTATTTATTTGGAGGGAGAAAGCACATTTAGCTTCACAAATACAACTAGTATAAGTTTTATAACTTAAAGGCATAGAAGAAGATACCAAGGATGTATAACGGTAGGAGCTTAAGTGTTTCCGGAAGAACAAGTTGTCCAGATGATGAAACTGTAGCACAAAATTTCCTATAAGAACACAGAATACCAATGCAACGGTCAGTCAGTCTTTCACGGACTTGCATGAGCGGGCGAGAAGGAATTTCAATTGCAGCTGCAGAAAGAAAATTCGACAGTATATTGTGAGTATCATTTCCCCACATCAAAGATAACTAAAGTGCCATGGAAGCGATGAAAAAAAAGGGACTTCTGGTACTAGAGCGTGAGTGCACAAAGAAAGTGAATGAGAAAATTGCATGGTACAAAGGTAAAAAACAAGATTGTGAAAAAAGGTGTAACCAAATACCTTGTTTCAATATACAAGCGAACTGGGTATCCAAGTCAGCTGTACGGAAAAGATTATTCAGTATACTTGTACATGGCAGAGCTAACGTTGTAACTCGAATTCTTCTTTGACCGTACACAGTGGTGTATAGAAGCGCACACTGGACAATGGACAAGACAAAGTAATTAGAAGGAAAATAAGAGTCATTTTCTTCAACATTAACAGGAATTATGGGAAGCTCCACAGCATCAAAATGGGGAGATATTGGACCAGATATTCCAAGAAACTTAGAAAGTAAAACTAGTTAGTACCTGAAACACACATTCTGAGCCATCCTGCAACTTATCATCATATTTTATGGTTACCGTTATAGTTTTGTCACAGTCAATCTGCACAATAAAAGATTAGTTAAGGTTTCATAAATACTGGTATTCAAGCTAACAATATGATCAGCATTTATACGCAGTCCATGGTGGAGAAAAAAGACTCAAAGACCATCAAAAGTAGAACATGCAAACATAGGTGTGTGAATGTACATGATATGTGTGTTTGTGTTGTATAACTTACACTGGGTAGGTCAACGTCAGTAGGAACGCGCTTGCAGAAGTTCCCATGGTACTCTTGAACTTGGAGACCCTACAGTAGATCAGGAAAAACAATCACTTGCAGAACAGAGAAATTATAAGTAACCATTTGCTATCACACAAAAGGAAAAGACGAGAAAATGAACGTCAGCACTCCAAATAGGTTACCTGGCTGCATCTCACACGCATCACTGCCTCAAAACCTTGAGGCCGTGTGACATTCCATCTAAGGTCATTGTAGATCTTTGCAGAGTCAGCAACCGCAGAGAAAGGGTAATAATAATAGACCTGGAACAGAGTGGAAATGTGAGGTAAGTCGAGTCTGCAATGACAGAAATCATGAATAGTGCCGTTAATAAAATCCCAAATGGCTAAACAAAGAAAAAAATGGCAGGAACTATAACCCATATTTTATATAATATACTGCAAGAATAGACATTTTCCAGTACCTGGCCACCAGTGATTCTTGGGATGACAGACATAGAAGCTATGTCTATGTATACCTGGGTAGTTACAAAAATATCAACGCAGACCTGTAACATATAAAGACAAAGATCATTAGCATGAATAAGTAATCCCATCAACATCTATGTCTACAAATGCCAACCAATGACCATCAGCAGAATTCAGAATTATAACAAACTACTTATCAAATGCAAACAGAACACTAAACGTTTACCTGATACTCAGCAAGTTCCATAGCCATTGTTTCTAAAATCTTGTCAGCTGGTTGAAGTAATTTATGTACCTCCTGGTGAAGAGAGAGATTCACAAACATAGAGTATAATTCTGTTAGAAGTTAGGACAAATGAAGTACTCAAATAATATAGTTTTGCAGATCGCAGGATTTCAAGGTAGAACGAGAGATGGAAGAACATGTAGTTGGAGAAAATCAGTATATCATATATCAATACCTTCTCCCCCGCAGAGCTATTAGTTCTTCCTTCAGCCTCTCTAGCTGAAAGGGCTCCAATTCCAATTGATGGCAAGACTGTAGACAACATCTATCGTTTTTAGAATATACTCATAAGTCCATTTTAGAAACAGATTTAACTTCTAAAAACACTCTTTAGAGAGATGAACAAGATAAATATAGCATTGCTGTAACAAGCATGACAATGTTGTAAAAAGAAAGTCCATAAAACTAAAATTACACATGTCTCTGAACTTACCTGACTGAAATACCAAAAGTTTTCCTCCATTCCTTTTCATTGCCAAGAATGCAGCCTGAAAAATATAAACAAAATGGCAACACGTTAGAATGCAGGCTATAAACCCTTAGACATCAATCAATGTGATTATACAGTGTCCATTAAGCTGGTGATTTTAAAAACATAACAGTATAAAACACCGGAAAACCCAATTTAACAAGAACTCCAATTTTTTATTTTTTTACTCTCCCACACCATCTTTAACACTCACCCAGAAAAGCCAGAATAAACGCAAGAAGATATGAATACCATACCTTGACTGCGGCACCAAAAGCTGAGTCAGCTGTTTTATTATCTTGAAACATGGATGGGATGCTTTCCAAAAGTAGTTCTAAATGTTGACGGCACTGGATACATGTCAAAAACAACCAAAGGCTTAACAAAAAATCATTTGGACATTTGTCAAACAAGTAATGGTTTGACGTATCTGGGGTTGCTAAGAAATTGCCCTACACATATCAACAGCTTTACTAGAGAACACAAACAAAACTGAAGTCTAAATCTAACCTCAGAAATCTGTACAATTACATCAGTCTGCAGAGGAGTATAAACATCTTGTACATCAGGAACAATGAGCATCAGTGGCTGCAAAACATATCAAATATAAAATCAGTGAGCAATCTTCTATCGAAATGAATGTTTTAGTGTTGTTGAGTAAACAGGGAAATGATCAAATGTATTAACCATAACCGTAACATGGTTTAAATGGAGTACAATCCTTATAACAACAGGAAACCATATATTCTCAGAACCATACTTAGGACATGCTTTTAATGCCGTATATTGAAACAAGGTTTCTCCCAACAAAGAGAAACCACCTATTTTGAATGACAGCACAATTGAAAGGGGTATACTTTCATGCCATAGACCAGGATGAGAAATGATGAGATAATGAAGCAAATGCAATTTTTAAATTCATTGCAGAAGAGAGCATGAGTTACAAAGTAATATTTTGACCTGCTGTAATGAACGTTTCAAATTGTAAAAATGAATTGTAGTGTCAAATGTTGCAATTCCCACCATAGTCCTAGGGCCTTCCTGAAATAGTAGAATCATCAATTACATCAGTCGCTAAAAACCTTAATCCAATAAGCAGGTTCTTGTAAGAACTTAAAAAACCTGACATACTCTAAAACCAAGGTGACAAGTATATGTCAAATTTTATATAAGCAGGTGCAATTACATGCTTTAGCATACTGAAAATAGGCATAAAACTTACAGGAAGATCAGAAATAACTTGACTGATTGCACTGCATGCCGCCGCAGTTGCTCCAGTTTGCATAGCAATCATAGATACATCAATAAGGAAGAAATACACAGCCAGCATTGGATCACGCACCTGGAACATGATAATTAATTTTGAATCTAAATGAAACAGAAAAGAAACAACATTAACCAAACATGAAGCTGCATAAAGCTGGGAAATCTCATGAACCAACTAACCATGTACTCTTTTGAAGCAACAAATTCAACCATTCCTTTACAAAGCTCGGGCCTATCGTCAGCATCTCTACGCCTACCATCTGGACCAAGATTGCAGTGGTAATCACGGGGCGTCTCATCACTAAATCCTGCAAATTAAACAAGTGCATGTCGTAAAATCCCCATGTTATCAATACCAATGAAAAAAAAACTTCAACATGGAAAAACAAGGACAACTATCCTAAATTAAGGAATAACATAAATGTAAAACTTTGGGAGATGTGAGAAGTGAAGATGACAGAAATGGCTGATAGTATCTTTCATAAAAGTAAGCATACACAAAGTTTAAAAGAAAGATAGTAGATACATAAAAAACTGGTGCAATCCTAAGTTGGACTAACCACACAAGCTACAGATGAACTTCCTGCCCTGATCAATGAACTTCATGGAAGGGTTTATGTAGCCTTTGCAACGAGAACAACGAACAGGACCACTTTCACCAAAATCCACAACCTATAACAAGAATAGTTTATCAAGAAGGACCAGGATGCAGACATGCATCTTTCAATTATCTAGTATGTGTACCCACAAATTTTGGAGCTTTTGACATGGACGATTAATACACTAAGATAAAATCCGCAAATAGCAAAGAGAAGCGGTGATCCCAAATTTTCGGTGATCCGTCAGATCTCGATTATGACTCACTGACCAACGCATGATAAACTGTTAAGTTACCATATTATTGAAAAAACAGTCTAAAGAATATTTATGCATTACTTGAATAGGCTCTTCGGATGGATGAGGAAGGGCCAAAGGTTGGAGCAGCAAAGCCAACTGCATGCCCGATGTCGCCAAAAGGTCAGCAGTGCATGGAACCTGTTAAAATAAAAGCGAAATATGTATATAAAAAATGCTGAGAATAATTGATTTTTCCTCACATAATCCAATGAATCACAATCTCAAACATCAAAATCAACTACTTGTTTGTAATTGTTGACTGCTCAGGTTGATACCTGATTAATGGTGCACCTCATATTGCGTGGACTGCAGTTCCCAGTGTCTCTGACAGTGTAATCACTTGTAGAAGGCTTCAGAAAAGTAACATTTAGTAATAGGTGAAAGATCATTAAACGCTAACACAGCGAGCACGTATAAAAAACACAAAATGATTCTTAAAGATCAATTAATGGCCAGAAAAGTTAACTAAATGAATACCGGAGGAGGGTTTGTTTGATTGCCCTGACGAGTTTCATACACAACCACTGAGGAACTTGGAATAGGTCGTGGTATTTGATTCGGATCAATCTTTGACGGTCCTGCCGCCGGAGCTCCAGTTTGCCCCACAGCATGTGATATGGCAGTCATGGATTGGTTTGGCAACGGTGGTGGCATGCCAAACATTCTTGGTGGTTGCACAGACGCTGAAGTTGGCGGCAGCTGCGGTGCCTAAAACAGTTGAAAACATTTCAGTCAGATTATTGAGTGGAGGAAAAAAAAAAAAAAACTTGCATACAATGTCTGAAAAAAAGTTTAAAGCTTTGAGCTTACTTGATTATGCATGGACCACGTTTGTGGAGGTTGAGAAACTGGTTGCGGCGGCTGCACGGGCGGACCTGGAGGCACTCTGCCCACTGAACTGCCCAATACAGAATGCATGGTTGGCGGAGGCTGAGGCTGATGATGAGGAGGCGGTGCCCGAGCTGCAGCCATTGTTGCCGAAGGTCCAGTCCCGCAAACAGGTGGAGGAAAACGGGGCCCGCCGAGAAAAACACCTGGTGGGGGTGCCGGCGGGAAAGCATTGGGAGGAGGCGGTCTGTTGCCAAGTGGTGAAGCTACAGGAGGCCCGGAAGACATTGACGGGCCCACGTACGGTGGAAACGAGGAGGGGGGTCCCACTGGAGGGGGACCCGGTAAAGGTCTGGACTGCGCAGTCCGAGAAAATGGGCCCGGCGGTGCTGACGGCGGTGGTTGGGAATGAGGTGAAGGTCTTGGGGCAGAGGTGGGCATCGAAGGCGGTCGATTGAGATTCAAATTGTGCAAATTGTCCGACAAAGAATCGGAATTTGGGGGAGGAATTATACGATTTGGGTTAGGGTTGTAATAAGGGGGCGGTGGACGATTACCGGGTCGGGGTGGCCCTGGAGCTGCCATTTGATCGCTCGAATTCAGACCAAAATCCCTAATCCGCTTTCGAATTCTTTATTGATTCTACTTCAATTTTCAATTCCGATCGATAATTACGATTAAATTCAGAAAATCGAACTGAAAAGGAAGGATTTTTTAGGGCAAGTGAGAAGAACCTTGGGGAGGAAGAAGCTCGAGAGACGATTAGGGTTTTTGATTTTACCGCTGTTAATTCCAACGGTTAAATTTTATCTCCGTTATTTCGCTTTCAGTTTTTTGTCTTGAGAGTAGGCCTGGCATTTTGAATCCGACCTGACTCGTTAAAATTAAAGTTTGGATAAATGCTTAACGGGTTATTTTGAATTAATCTGTAAAATTCGTTAACTTAACGAATTGGTTCAGATGATCCGTTAAATTAACGAATCAAGTTGAATCTGATCCAAACTCAATAAATTCGATCTGTTTACCGGTCTCGAGAGAGAGAATCATATAGGACATCGAAGAAAATCCAAAAGCTTTTGGAAGTTATGATGGACGGATCTTCGCACTTTTGTTTTGCAACATTTCTCGTGTTCCACACATAAAGTTTTGTAGGATTATGTATTCATTTTTACTTCTCAATTTTTGAATGTCTCGTCAACGTCAAGTAAATCGACGCGAAATCAATGGTAAAAGTTAACGAAATTGTATGCATGGTAAAAAATTAACAAAGTAGTATAAAATAGGAGTGTAATATCCACACATCCTATTTTACTTCTCATACATTTTTTTAATTTTCAGTTGTCGGATCATATGAATTGAAGAAGATCAACGAACAAAATTTATCAAGAAAGATGTGAGAAGTAAAATAAGATGTGTGGATAGCATATTCCATATAATAGGGGTGTGCTATCCACACACCTCTTTTTATTTCTTCCACACCCCTTTTTAATTTCTGTCATTTGATCTTCTTTAATTCATCTAATCCGACAACCGAAAATTAAAAGAATGTGAGAGAAGTAAAAATAGTGTGTGAATATCACACCTCCATATAATATACATCATTCGTACTCAGGATTCTATAAATGTATTAGCTTTAGCAGTAGGTGTACCAAACTCCCACAATTAAATTCTTCCTTAATTTAACCTCTTGTCAATCTAATTAACCCTCATCAATTAAATTCTCCCAGATTACGTATTAGTCACATGTTAATAAACGAATAATGGTTAGATTGCCAGTTAATAATACACTTTAATAGAGCTCCTTTTTATTTACGAGAGGGTTTAAATTTAAATCTTAATTTATTTCTCGCTTATTAGTAAAATATAATTGGATTAACTCCAAAAAAAAAAAAAAAAAAAAAAAAAAAAAGTAACGGTCACACCGACCCCAGTTCTTATCAATCTATCTACATACTGGAATCGACCCTCATTCAACACTCCACTCACCAACCCACAGACTTTGACATTTCGTAATTTCTCACCAAACAATGCCCGGATCCCGAGCCACCTCCATTGATGCGGCCGCACCGGAGGCGTCTACCGGCGATGACGCGCCGCACATCGACCATTAACTCCTCCGCCTCCGACATGCCTGAATCCGTTGTCCTCATCCGCCGGTTTCTCTTATTTGTGGCGGTCTGTCTCTCCTGCCTGCTCCTCTACAACGACTCCAATGCCCTCCGATTTCTCCACCGTTTCTCTTCCTCTCCCTCCGCCTCCTTCTCCTCCTACCTTTCCCCTCTCGTGAGTTCCTTTACTTTAATCTTCTCACTCTCATTCATTTCTACCTTCAATTTTTTGCTTTTTTGTTTTCCGTAAAGAAATGATTTCTGCACACCCTTTTCTTCTCTCGACGCCCAAATCAAAGGAGTATCGAGGGACATAAGAAAATGGGTGTGCAGAAAAATGAGCATTGTGACATTGTTCTTCTCATATTTCTTTATTTTCTCGAGCTATTAAAAATGGGTGATTTGTGTTTTGATCAGTTATTGTTAATTTCCTTACAATTGTTACTGGGTGACTGACAAAAGTGTGAAAATTTAGATTAATGGCATAAAATTCATAGAAAGTTCGAAACTTTGTGTAGGTTAGCGAGGAACATAGGCTTGAAAAGGTTTTAAAGAATGCTACCATGGAAGACGGCACTGTGATTTTAACAACTTTGAATGAAGCATGGGCAGCTCCCGGCTCGATCCTCGATCTCTTTCTGGAGAGCTTTAGGATTGGAGTTGGAACTCATAGGCTATTGAACCATTTGGTGATCATTGCCTTGGATCAAAGGGCATTTGAGCGTTGTTTGGAGGTGCATAACCATTGCTTTGCTCTTGTCATTCAAGACTTTGATTTTCGTCAGGAGGCTTATTTTATGACCCCTCACTACTTGAAGATGATGTGGGCAAGGATCGATTTTCTGCGCTCTGTTCTTGAGATGGGCTACAATTTCGTTTTCACGGTAATCTCTTCTGCAACTTGAACTTGAAATTTCGTAATTTGGAACTTATTATGGCACAACCTGATTAGAAACTGTTAAGCTTGAATTACGAAGTTTGCATTAGTTTAAAAATTATATTTGAAACAACCTGATGAGAAACTTTTAGACTCGAATTACATTAGTTGAGGATACATTTGGTAGGGTTCTGCTCTAAATCTGTAATGGTTTCCCAATTCTGTTTTGATTCGATATTGATCTCGTCGTGCAGCCCCTTGGCGGATTTAAGAATTAATTGCAAAATACATTTGTAAGACTCAGTGCAGACTTGTTGGCGTGCTTTAATATGGTTCTTATTGATTGAAATCAAATTTTCTTTTCTTGAATGCCTTCCTGGTTGTTCTTTCCTCCTCCAGGATGCTGATATTATGTGGTTCAGGGATCCGTTTCCACAGTTTTATGAGGATGCAGATTTTCAGATTGCATGCGATAATTTCTTAGGCAACTCGGACGATTTACAGAACAGACCGAATGGAGGGTTTAACTATGTAAAGTCCAATAGCAGGTCAATAGCGTTCTACAAATTTTGGTATTCCTCGCGGGAAACCTACCCTGGGTTCCATGATCAGGATGTCCTCAATATTATTAAGTTTGATCCAACCACCTTTAGTATCGGACTGAAAATAAAATTTTGGATACGGCTTACTTTGGTGGATTTTGTGAACCCAGTAAAGATTTGAATCAAGTTTGTACAATGCATGCAAATTGTTGTTATGGTCTAGATAGCAAGCTTCACGACCTTAGAATCATGGTTCGGAATTGGAAGCGATTTGTGTCCTTGCCGCCAGATTTGAAGAGAGATTTGATGTTACCATGGGGCGTTCCGCAGAACTGCAGGTAAGACAAGCACATAGAAATTTTGGTTGTCCTGATTTTTTAAAATGTGAAGTTATTGTTGCCTAAAATGTGAAGTTATTCATTCCTTTTCCATCATATTCTCGTATAATTCTTAATTTTGTGAATGTTCCTTCCAGCCTCGACTCTCTCCGTCACTCTGATGCACTGGAGAGCGATGCTCAACATGGTTCACAAGAATGATGGAGCTGTATGTAAGTTTTGAAGCCTTCTTGAATGACAGAAATTTGTGGAAGTGGTGCGAAGGGCGGGTTCGAAGGACCCGAGGCTCCTGAAGGAAGAGGTGATATCTTAAACCACACATATGATGTGGTGTGAAAATTCTTGTAGGGAAATTCGTAGACCATTTTTTTGTAGTAAACAATTTCAGAGGTTTAGGTTTAAGCATTGTTATCCGACTGGTAGCTTATTTTTGGTGTAGTTTCTGCCTCTTTTCGACGTCAGCGTTTTTTCTTTCAAATTTTAATTTGCAAAATGCTTCCATTAAAGGCTTTTTTAAGTTTCAATACCACAAGACCACGCGATAGAAAAATTTAATTAAGAACCAGTTCGGAGGTAATTTTGAAATGACTGAAAGTGTTTTTCGTGAGTGTTTTAGAATCAAATCTCAATAAAAATCCAATTGAAGGCACTTGAAGTGTTTTCTACAAGAAACACATAACAAGTGTTTCCTTCAAATTCTACTTGGAAGTGTTTTTGGAGCCTAAAAACAATTTCAGTAAAAGCGACTTCAATCGTTCTAAAGGCACTTCTAAACTGAGACCTGTATTAAACAATGTATAATCATTTTGGAGTGGGTAAACTGTCGATTTGCCCCCTGAACTATCACCCAACTTTCAATTTCCCCCCTGAACTTTTTAATTGGAAAATTAAGGACTTAAACTAATTTTTTTTGGCCAATTTCCCCCTACAGTTTAGTTTTTCAAATAGATTTTCATCCAAATTAATGTTAACTCTTATCATGTGCAAACCACGTAACTCTCATTTGTGGACAAAAGTGTCATTTCACTAGACCTTTAGATACAAAAGCTATAGAATCACACATATTTGCATAGGTTTATATTTTAGAAATCTAAGGTTTTCAATTATTTTAAAGAATGAAGCGATCGAACTACTCACACATGTTGTGCATATGCTTCCATTTAACAAAAATTTGGATGGAATGAATGAAAATTTGACAGCAGGGGGCAAATCGGCCAAAAAAATTAGTTTAAGTCCTTAATTTTCCAATTAAAAAGTTCAGGGGGGAAATCGAAAGTTGGGTGATAGTTCAGGGGGCAAATCGGCAGTATACTCTTTTGGAGTCGCATTGCCTCCTTAGTTTATATCCTTTGAAAACTGTTAACTGTATAGTAAACAATTATACAAAAATTTGAAATGAAATGTAAATAAAAAAACCAAAAACTAATTTACAAAATAATTACAAGTAGATTCTTTATCCATCACCATTATCAGATTCCAATTTACGGCTTACAAGAACACCTCGATCCCAATTTTCAGTACACCTGCACACATGGAGGTCACAGATTATTCATATACCATTTTAACAGACTGGCTCGTGAGTCTCATAAGCCGAGCCCCAACAATCTCAAGCTCGGGCTGGATTGCTTGGGCACGGCTTGTGAGGCTCAACAAACCTTGTTTTCGAGGGGAGCCCTATATTTAGTTGAAGAGGGGGAAAAATATGTTACACGAACCTTGTCCCGTCAACATCAATGCAGATGAAGTGGCCATGTCGCCAACCATCTTGGAACTGGCCAAAAAAGACATCACCGGACTTTGAATAGAAGCGACCTTCGCCATTGGCTTTCCCTTTCCAGAAGTTTGCAAACCATCGGTCTCCGGTGTGAAAATACAACCAACCCTATACATGACCATAGAAACAGCACATTACAAAATGATATCAAATGAAAGAGATATACCTATTGATACACTTTTACATGAAGAAATTTACCTTGCCATGCATGGCATCGTCCCTCCATGATCCCTGGAACACATCCCCGTTGCTGAAGTAGAATGTACCAAGACCTGATCTTTTTCCATATCGCCACATGCCATCGTATATGCTTCCATCCCCAAGAAGCAGACGACCCTGTAGAGTTTTTCTTAGGATTAGCATTTAATTCCGTTTTGTACAGATCAAATCATGACACCTCAAGAACTTAGATTTTCAGCTTTTATGATTTTGTGGAACAATACCTTTCCTTCAGGAAGACCTCCTTGGCACCGTCCTTCGTAGATTCCTCCTCTGTATGGCATCTCCACCATAGGACTCCACTTTTTTGGTGAATCTCGTTCTGCTTCCTGTACGAAGAATATGTAACCAAACTAAATCCTCAAGTATAAGAACCAGTCAACTAATATAGTAACTTTTGACTCTTTAACAGAAAAGTATGTATTTAAAGCAAGCTCATTACCAACATAGATGCTGCACGAGCAGAGAGATTTCTTTGTTTTTTAGGATTATCAGCATCTTTTCCCTTTACAAGTGTTGATGCTGTGTTGTAAAATTCCCTGACTGCTCCGAGCCCTGTGTCAGTAAATGAATTCCTTGAAGACATACTTAAATTGTAAGCTGGTTGTGCTTTCACACCATCATCGGATTTTGTCTTTGGATCTTGTGTTGGAAATGAGGCATTGACACCATCTTTCAGCTCTTCTGGAGGCTTTACACCAACTGGAAGGCGGAAGATGGTCAGGTTATCTAGCATCACAGTAGCTCCATCTTCAGCTGCCCTCTCTTTTGCCCAATCCTCTGCAAGCTGAGATCCTGGTCCTAAGTTCCAACTAACAAGTGGCTGTCTTTGGAAGGCTGGAGTTACTTGGCAAAGAAATTTTTTAACCATGATTAGTCGAATGAAGACTACAAGAAATAAAAGTGCTGCCGCGTCCTTTTAACAATTACTAGGACACCAAGGAATGACTACTCCATCAAACTGGAAACAAGTAAATTCACATTTCAAGGAGAGCAAACGAAATAGTAGTGCTACCTTCAGTGATCGGATCGTATAAACTAGACGATTCAGCAGTGGCCTCATAATTTCCATCTTCATTTTGTTCCAACCCACTATTAAAAATCCACATAAATAAAAGAAATCAGTTTAAAAGAATCTGCATGTCAGACAAATCTTTAGGAGAACTTAATTAAAATAGGGAAACCAATTTAACCTTGAAAGGTGGAACTCATCGTAGTTGGTGTTTGTTACTTCCTCGGGTCCTTCAGAGTACTTATCAAAACCTTCGGCTATAACAACAGCCTTTCTATTTCCCATCTCACTAGAATCTGGTGAATCTGCACTATCAAGAGGTAGGTTTTCCCGAGTGTCATTTAGTAGCCACTGGTGCCTATTGAAGAGATTAAAAATGAAAGGAAAATGCTCGGCCAGTCCCGAAATTATGCCGCTTTTCTGAGAAGCTTGTTTTCTGGCAAAACTGGTGATCACATAAAATGTGCATTAGAACAACACCAGACACGAGATGCATCATGTATCAACAAATCAAAATTTGATAAATAGTCAGAAAGTAAGTAGCAAATACTACTGTTAAATAATTAACATGAGGCATGAAGGAAAAACATTACCCTACAATAAGAACCGTTGTGACTACCAAGTTGGGTTCTAGATTAGGTTCATGAACTGTAGAAACTAAGATTTTCCCTTCATATTCTGTAGTTTGACGAAACGTATGCAAAATTGCATGTATATCACTGTTCTCGATAGTGCTCGAACTTGCAATGATGCATATAATCATACCATCCAAGTCCTATGCAACAGAGGGTAAAAAAAATGGAAACAACCCAAAAATCAGAATGGTCGCAAAGAATAGAACATTGCTATAAAATTATAACCGTAACAAATAAATTGCGGGTTATGTACACCCAATTGAGAACAACATAAAGTAAAAAAGACTGGGAAACAGCAACAAATCAATGAGAAACAGAACGAAAACATGTCTATGACACAATTGACCAACAGGAACATAATCAATTCTTGCATTTAGTGCAATTTGGTCATACCTTTACACCCATACTAAGGAAGGGGCAGTCATACATAGATCGTAGTATTGAAGTTTTGATATGTAGCCAGCACCGAATCCAATATTTGCTTCTTTGTATACTTCCAAAATCTGCACAGAGTTGCAAAAAATAAGCAAAATATAAATAAATAAATAAATGATCTAATAAAGTTCATCATAACTTGCACAAAGGTGTATGATATGATTTGTGAACACTTACTTTAATCACTTCTGAGGCTTCGATCTCTTTCGCATCATAATGGGATGCATCAATAAGTTTTCTGTGTATATCCTATATGTACACCAGCAATAACCAAGTCACAACCAACGTACTGTTAACTTAGATAAACACAAATATGAAAGGGAAACTTACAGTTGTTAGAACAGATACAGCAGTTATTGACATTAAAACAGCACTATTTGCAGTCTTGACAGCTTCATCTAAAGTTACCAAGTCCTTTTTGAGTAACATGTCAGCGTCAAGACCTGCATGTAAAAAGAAACAACATAATGTGCAACTGCTCAAAATAAGTGGGACTTCAAAGCTTATCTAACAGACTATAACAAACTCACCAATAAACAAATCTGTATGAGACTGAAGTTTTTCCGTTAGATCTTTGGCCTGAAAATTAGATTGAAAGTGTCAATATTCAAGCATGGACTCAATCAGGAAGGGCCAAATCATGGAACATTGAGTTCAGAAATAAGTTTAGAAAACTCCAGCGAATATTATACCTCTCAAGTGAATGGATGTTGCAACAAAAAGTTGAAACGGAATAATTAAACGAGCTATAAAGACATCTATGGATGCTTGTGTTGGGTTTTTTCCAGCCCATGATTAGTTGTCCTAAGTTTATTGGGAATTAATAGTCTTAGAGGATTAAATTGTTTTCCCAATTGGAGTTGTTTACCCAATTGGAGTTATTTCTCAATTGGAGTAGGATTCATAACTAGATTCCAATTAGGATTAATAATCCTTATTGAAGAAGACCTTTATTATGTCTATATAAAGGGGCTATTGTACTAGTTTTGAGAAGGGAGCAAAACAATAAATTGTATACCACTCAAGGGATTAGAGTGAGAGAATATTGTAAAGTGTGTGCGAGAGAAAAGAAAAGAGATAGTGTATTTCTTGTTCTTGTTCTTTCAGGTTTTTCGTCAAGTCCTAGTTCTAGAGATTTGGCAAGATTATTTGTTGTACTCATTATTGATATAGTGAAAGATTGTTGTTGCTGTCCCGTGGACGTAGGCACATATTGCCGAACCACGTAAATTCTTGGTGCTATTTATCTTGGTTATTTGTTTTCGATTTCCCGAGTTTGTTCTATTTTTCTCATTCTTAAACGCAATATTCTTAACAGCTTGCATGAGGATATTATGTCTTAGAGAGGCTTTGATAACAGTTTTTAAAATGGTTACATGGGGCCAAAATAAGATGGATTTGGTCTCTGATGCTATCAACAAATCATTACATAACTGCCATTTTTCTTTCTGTCTAGATGTACAAGATTCTCAAGAGAGAAAATTAGGACGAATTCACCCTGGCTCCATTACTACTTCTAATTTCTATAACTTTTTTGGTTTAAAATTTTTCCCATAAGATGCATAGCAAAATATTTCAATTAATGAACAATGCTGCATATATGATATTCACGTCAACAGGTGTAATCAAAGTTCCAGCCAAAGAAACAATACCTCAACTTGGCGCCTCTGTCCTTCAAAGCTGAAAGGCTTCATAATAATAGTGACTACAAATCCATTTGCAGATCTTATTGTTCTCAGAATATCAATTGCTACCATGAGATCTAACCCATATCCTGCACTTGCCACCTACAGACAGAAGTAACAGGAAATTTTGGATGCCAGTAAGTTTCATAAAGGAACCAAGGTGTACATGCATGGTCAAAATATTTTGACAAATTGCAGTAAAATAATAAGTGAATCAATACAATTTCCAATTTGTATTATAATCCTTCTTGTCATGGTACCAATCATCAGATCAAGAGGCACCAAGTAATAGCCATAGAAGATACTAAAAGTACGGCAAAAGACTATTGTAGAAATAAACAGATACAAGAGTGGGGGGAGGAAGCTGATAAACAACCTAGCACTCACACATGAAACTAGCGCTAGTAATGATAATCAAATAAGTTGGTCTTTTTTATTATCATTAATAAGTCCGTGTTTCTTATGCAAAAAGTAAACTAAGGTGGAATCATATAATCATATGTGAAAGGATAAAGTCTGAAAATTCATTACGCTGGCTGGCACCGAAAAACCTAACCCATTTGTAACCAAGTACACAAAACACATCCAACAATCCCCCAATGTATAATAATCAAATATGGTTTGGAAAACAGAATCATAAACGCAAGTAATAGGTAAGAAATGTACAAACAAGGATAATAGCCTTTGGACATGACTTTGAGGACGGCGGAACTTCAAAGATCATTGGAGTCACATCTGCAATCATAGCCAATAAAAAAAACACAATAAAGCATATCAAGTGTCTATTTGGCTTATGAACAATAACCAAGTCTCCATACAAGTTAGCTAAAAACGACGACAAGTCCATGAAATGAAACTACACAGACATCAATGTATCCAAATTCACACAATACAAACTTGCAAATCAGATGCAATTCAAGAAAATAATTTCAAATTTTCTTGTTAAAATTTTGACAAGTAGAGCGAAGTAAAGCACGAACCTTTTCCGAAAATCCGTTGCTGTAACTGCACCTTCGACGAATCTTTGATGAGAATGTGCCTGCAAGAAATTCCCATTGCTTATAACTCCTATTTTTATGAATATGCTTCGGTTCTCAGCAACAAAGAACAGTGAACTCACCAAAATCGCACAGACGAAAACTGGAACGGTGATTCGAGACAGAAATCGAGAAACTCCAATTCAACGATCACTTCAACGAGGTCCATTCCGGCCGAATTCTTCGCCGTTCCAGGTCTCGGCCGACTCGAAGCGAATGCGAACTCCGGCCGGAACTACCCCGGCAGCTCAAACTGTGCTTTCTTCGGCGACGGAAGGAGCATTTACTGAAGATAAGTCCAGAGAACCTTGAAGAATAAGGGCGCAGAGAAACACCGTAATATGATCGGAAACTTGTGAATGCGGCGGGAAGCTCCATTGAAACGGGCCGCTATTGAAAGATATGCGGCTGCTGCAACTCCGGAGGAGCTGGTACGGTGGCAGATTGGGCGGGAGGGTTTTGGGGACGAAGAACTAGCATCAAGTATCGGTGGAGATTTCAGCTCCTTAATTCTTTTTTCAAACAATAAATAAATAAATAAATAGTGAGTTGGGCTAGGATTAAGCCCACTAAACGAATTGTAGATGTCGAAGACCCAGCCCACCAACAGTCCACACAGCCCAACCAATTAGCCCACCTCAACCAACCAACAGTCCACACCAAATGTCTTTATTTTTATTTAATTCATTTTGTTTTTTGTTCTAACAAAGTGATCTCCTGCAACTCAGTACTATGTTTTTGTGGTATTTCTCCTCACTCAGAAGTGAGAGGCCTTAGATTCGAATCCCGTAGATGGCGAATTCGATAACAAATTAGGCTGCCTACTGTGTGGCTTAACCGAATTATCTCTCTCTTTAGTATAAAGATATCGATGTACTCAAAACAAAGTTATCTCCTGAAGTGATACTCTAATTTAAGGGGCCCAAACACAAGTGCAATAGAGCGAGTGTCATGGAGAACATACCACTTATATTTTCTTAATGATGGAATAATTAACTTCTTAATACAATTGCTAATACTTGCGTAATGCCAATTGTACAATCCACTTCTAGCTTTGTGATGCGAATATAAATTGTGCCATAACATAACAACATAGTTAATTTAAGGACTCGTATGGGATTTCTATTGTCGAAAGTAGTCCTACTCGTAAGCATTTTTGCTAAATTTACTTTTATAATAATGTCTTCGAACTACTTACTAAGAGCATCTTCAAGAAAAAAAATTAAAATTTTGTTAAACTAGCAAGTGAACGGTGTTAAATAACAATTTTAACTACTCAGTTTAACTTTTCATGTGCAATAACATTCTACATTTTAACAAACTTTAAATATTGTATTTCACTCTTGAGTTTTATTTTTTTTAATTTGGTTGATAAAAAGTTGCTCTGTATATTTAAAAAGTGACTTTTTAGTGTGATATAATAGACTCTTTTATAGAGTCTGTTGGAGTTGTATTTTTTAAAATAGAATTTTGGTTATTTTACAGCATTTCTTAGAGATGTTCTAAAACAACTTCTATGATCTCTAATCACATAAATTTTTTACACTAAACGTAATTAAAAAATGATTTTAATTACGGGTATGCTATCCATACACCTTATTTGTACCATACTTGACCAATCCCAAAATTACTGAGCACCGGTCAACGTTATACCGTCAAGGACCCATAAGAGTTTCCCTCCAACCAGGAGGCCAATCATAGCGCAACACGTGTCGGCATCAGAAACCAATCATAGCGCGACATGTGTCAACATCAGAAGCCAATCACAACTAAGGGTGGGCACTTGGAACCGAAAACCGAAACCAAAACCGAAACACGAATCGAATCAAACCGCACCAAACGATTTGGTTTTGCGGTTTTGAAACGGTTTCGGTTTCAAAACCGAACCGCGACACACAAAACGGTTTGGTTTCGGTTTTGGGTTTTCAAAACCGCACCGAAACCGAAACCGCACCATATAATAAATAATAAAATAAATGTTATATAACTTATATTTTCAACTTTTCAACTAGGTTATAACTTATAGGTTTGGTTTTGCTGTGGGTTTGCACTTTGACTCCACTGCTTCTGCTTGCATCTCTACTTCTGCCTTTGCGACTACATTTTTGCTGCATTATTTTTTGGTGCAATTTTGTGCAGTTTTGTGCAGTTTTTGGTGCAGTTTTGCTGCTGTTTTTTATGCATTTTTTTGGTGCAGTTTTGCTGCTGTTTTTGGTGCTGTTTGGGTGCAGTTTTGCTGCATTTTTTTTTCTTTCAGTTTTGACTCTTTTTTGCTGCAATTTTACTACATATTCATTAATTAATATACGAGAAAAATAAGACTGTCTTATGCATAAATATGTGTATATTTTAAATTGTACATTTTTTCTTAAAAATCAAACCGAAACCGTTTGAAACCGCACCGCACCGAACTGAACGGTTTGGTTTCATTTCGGTTTTGGCTTCAAAACCGCACCGCACCGCAAAATGTTTCGGTTTTGGTTGTGGTTTCACTCGAAACTGCACCAAACCGCGCCGCGCCCACCCCTAATCACAACACGACATGTGTTAATGTCAGAATGAAACTAAAAACTCTCTTCTATAAATAGAGATCATTCTCTCACAATATTTCTTAATGTCATTTGTACTAAATCATTCACTAGTACTCACAAAATGAGAGCTTGAACCTATGTACATGTGTAAACCCTTCACAATTAATGAGAACTCCTCTACTCCGTGGACGTAGCCAATCTGGGTGAACCACATACATCTTGTGTTTGCTTCCCTGTCCCTATCCATTTACATACTTATCCACACTAGTAACCGGAGCAATCTAGCGAAGGTCACAAACTTAACATTTTCTGTTGTACCAAAGTCCTTACTGATTTTGTGCATCAACATTTGGCGCCGTCTGTGGGAACGACACTTATTCCCACTCTCTTCAGCTTTGCCAAGCTGGTTTCCACCATTTGTACACTCTCTTTTGACCAGGCATCCCTCTCCAACATGGGGAGCGAAGGAAGCAACAACACACAGAATGACACCCCTCTTGCACCTAGTGTGAAGCAACGAAAGAATGAAGGAAAAAGGGTTGCTCTTCAAGCTAAAGTCGATGAGCTAAAAGCTCAGAACAACAAGATAGCAATGAAGAATGAGGTCCTCTAGGAGTAGTATGAGAAGCTCTTTGAGACGCTCCACGAAACTAGGCGTACTCAAACACGCGAGCTCGTTGCCCTTGTGGACATCAACCATCATCTGGGTACCCCCAAAACTGAGGGTCACCTTCCTTTGACATAGGTATCCCTGATGAGAAGCGAGTTAATCATCAAAACATTGATCAACATGAGACTTCTCTCAACCCAGATGATTCGACCCGAAGCAGGAGAAGTGGAAGAAGACACCTCATTGCAGAAGGGTTAGAAGGATCGAAAACCGTTTATCTTGACTGCCGAGACTTCCTAAAGCAACGTCAAGAGAATCCCCTCCACATATGCTCGAAGATCAATGACCCAAGGGTTTTTGAAAGACTCGGTCCCCTACCATGACCCAGGCCCGCTGCCAATCTAGGGAAAGAACAATAGGTCCCAGAGGAACATGAAGGTACATGAGACTTTGAGGTATTCCGACAAACTCACCCTAGAAGTCGGTATGGCGAGTTCAAGAAAAAACCACACGCCCTTGCTCAAACTTTCCTACTTCCAAGAGGCGATAGAGACTTACGAAAGAAAATTTCAGTGGTACATGGCTCCACTTAGGACCCCCTTGTCATACAGCTCATTGAAGAAGTAAACAAGTTGAAGGCCGAACGTCAGGCCGAGATACCTGATTGGAACCAATCCAGGCCTGGCCCTTTCACAAGGAGGATCCTCGACACCCCCTTTAAGCGAAGACAAAACAAAAGCTTGGTTTACAACTATATACTGGAAAGGAGGACCCAATTGAACACCTTAACCTCTTTGAGTCCACCATGGCATATCGGATGCACACCGACGAAGAGTGAAGTATTCTCTTCCCCTCCACCCTCTCTGGCGGAACTCTAAACTAGTATTGTCGTCTTCCACCTAAGACAATAGACTCATTTGAGGAACTGAGGAAACTGTTTGTTTCTCAACACATCTTCCAGACCAATCGCTTGCATTCTACAAATGACTTGTACACTATTTGCCAGAAGCCGGACGAGTCACTACGAGAGTATGCCGGTCGCTTCAGCCATGAGTATTCTCGCTGTGCTGAGGCAGATGACAAGACCGCCCTCAAGGCCTTCATGGCAGGCCTACGTGATTGTTTCTTCAAGTACATGATCAATGCCAACACTTGGAAGACTTACTCTGAGGTGATGGCACAGGCTTACAACCACGCCTCTGCTGAATCAATGAAATACCAAGGGAACCCCCATATGGTTAACCCCTATCAACAAGTGGGAAATGGAAGTCAAGTTCTACCAAGTGAGGAGATCTTGGCCATTCAGACACCCATTGCATCATCTCTTGCCTCATTTAGCTACTTGCTAAGTCACCAAATGTATCTGTCTCTTGGTAAGAGGAATGATTTTTACTCTCAGCAAGCTCATTACAACAAGAGGGATAAAAGTTCGTATTAAGACAACCAGGGGTGAACGTACCGTCGACTATTATGACTATGGGGCCAAGCCTCACTCTTTCAAAGTGGAGAACTATGTACTGAGGGAAATGCTATTATAATAAGGCATACACATTACAAATGTTTTGACTCTCAACCGCTTGAGATTTTTTGTCACACAAGCCATTCGACAAATATTTAAAGAAGAGGGAATTCAGACAATTTCTTCTGAGTCTTTTGCGTTCTTAACACTGTAACACTTGGTCTACGCTGACCTACCCTTATACTCCAACTCAGAGCTTCAACATGCATACTTTAACACAAAGTATGTGATACTAAGTGTTACAACCAACATGGTTCACATATCAAAAACATGGATCCCTTCATGCATAGCAAAACATTCATAAGCATCACTCATATCAATCAACATAAACATCATACATTCTAACACATTCATACATAAACATTATACATTCTAACACATTCATACATAAATATCATACATTCCAACACATCCATACATAAGCCAACAGTGCTTCGAAAAGGTTCAACATACTTTATGTCTTCGACACTTATTACAATGTGCCTCGACACCTTGCCTTTATTCTCACC